CAATTATCACTAAAAACAAAATTCTGTGTTGTGAATAATTTAAGCTTTCTCTAGAGTATATCATTTTAATATATGAAATAGTCTTTTCAAGCCAAACCTGTTAATTACCCTTCTCAACTCAAAACACAAATAAGGACATTACATATCATTTGAGGTCAGTAATCTGTAATTTCTGAACTATAACTGTGAAGTTATCAAAAATTTCAGCACTCCTGTGGTTCGTTGGCTAATAGAATTGAAGCAAAAATATTTTCCCCAAATTAGACCATGAAGACTAAGGTTCATAAACGCAAATGATTGCATGGGACCAATAGAAGGCATAAAAGTATGATTAGAAAAACAAGAGATGAACCATTTTCATCTACTCTAAAAATAACTTTCACTTACCTGCACTATTCAGACCAGATCCCAAACTCCCAGACCCACTTACCTGCAGCTGCAGCTTATCATCCTCTGCTTTACATACCACCACCACCTACAACCACCATGGAAGGTACAAGGAAGGGTATTATCAAGTAATAATCTTTTATCTCTAAAAAGTGTACAATCCTGGAGAAGCGAATAGTAAAATTTCTAATGTAGAGTCTGTTGCAGAGTGTCACATATCACACAAAATAATGGGGAAGGAAAAGTGATCATATTCATATATTTTTATTTGAGCGGTTTTTTTAATCATATTTGGTAAGAATTTTAATTAGCCTTTCTCTAATCTCAGAATTCACCAGCAATAAATTAAATGGATAGTCTTGTCCTTTTAAGAGGTATACCTGAAAATAAGAACAATTTAAAAGTCAAACCTTGTAAGCCACTGCTTTTTGACTGCCGTTAATAGAACTGAAAACATTACATCAGCTAAAAGGTATTACCCATCTATAATACTTTTAAGCTAACATGAACTTATTCAACTATTGTTTGTCACACATTTTTTTCTAGGCTCTGGGGAAACAAATTTGTGTAAAAAAATTTTTAGAAGCTGATTGAATGATTGTTTCTACTAAATCATCTGTATCTAAAAATAAATATTAACATAAGCTTCCATGGGATCAAACTAAGTAAGTTTTTTACAGATATATCAATAATGTGGTTTTTAAGCTATTCTTTCACAAACTGCAGGTATAAACTTGGTTCTATAAATAACGTTTGGTAACTTTATGATTTTTAAAAGAGACAAGAGACTAATCCTGAATGATTTATATGTTTCACTGTAGAATTAAAAAGAGACAATGAAGTAACAGAGTTCAAAAAGAGCAGAAAGCTGTTCAAATGTAAAAGAATATCATTAATAGTTGTTTCTTGCTTTGGTTAGGTATGGTGGGGAATTACAAATGAAAAAAACCATATATCTCAGACTAATAAACTTACATTAAAAATAATATTCTAATGGCAATCAAGCAATATAACTGAATTCATAAGATAGGAAGGTATGATGTAGGTAATGAAGATAGTAAAGGGGTTTTAGTACTTTGTAATTATCTGACAGAATAGTCTACATCCTAGCAGCTAATAACAGATTAATAAACTGAAAAATCTATTCTGGTGACCATAACTCTGAGAGCTGTGTCAAGGTAAATAACGACCATCTACTACTGAAGAAAACTAGAAAGAAAAGATTAATTATTAGTTGAATACAAATTTAGAACTAGAATTTACAAAGTAGAGTATACAGAGTATACAGTATTCCTCTATTTTAAACACTATATCATTTATGGCATTGTTCTTTTTTGATTTTATGACTATATTTTTAAATAAACTTTTTCTAAATAACATGTTCATTCATCCATATCTTTGTTCTTAGTTGATGTTTTTAAATCTTTCTTTAACTGCCATTTTTATTATCTTATGGCATTGTAATTTTATTTCTTAAATGTCTTTGATCATTATTTAGCATTATTACAAATTAAATGTTTTTAAGATAGCAAAGCTTTCACAGATTTGTATAGATTTAGATGGCATTTGACTTCCTTTCTAATTTAATTTCTACTATAAAATGGGTAGATTATGAGATAACTATCCCATAGATTAATGTGAGAGTAAAGCAAACTTAAAGTCAACATTTTGTGATTTCATTTATACAAAATGCTTAACATAATACCCAACAAAATAAATCTTAACATAGTTTGTTATAGTATTTCTTTAATATATAACATCTATACACTTCTATGGGGTACATAATAGTAATTCAATACATATATACCATATGAACTCATAAAATCAGGGTAATAAGCATTTACATCTCTTCAATCATTAATCTTTTTATGTTTTGGGAATTTCATACTCTTGTATGGTCTGATTTTGAAATATATCATAGGTTGTTTTAACCAAAAGTTACCGTAAAATGCTAAAGAACCAAGAGTAATTCCTTCACTATAGTGCTACACCTTAATAAACTTTTTTCTGTCCCCCTTCCTCTACCCGTTTCAGTCTCTACTAACCAACCATATTCCATTCACTCCATTATTCTGTGAGTGACTATTACCTTCCAAAAATGAGTAAGAACATGTGAAATATTGATCAATTTTGAGACATTATTATTATTGCCACAACATCAATGCCATTTAATGGATTGTGAGTGGAAAACGGTAATAGATTAAAAGGTAAAATGAAGGTATGATAAAATTTTAATTCGTTGTGAATTGATCAGGCTAGAATTTGTTCCCTGTATTATAAAATATTTTGAATAGAAGATCCAAGATTCATTCTTTTAAGGATTACATAATTGGACTATCAGGTAGTTCTAGTCATACCCATAATTACAGTAAAAATGAAGTGAAAAAGAAGATAAACCATTTTATTTTGGCAAGTGAATTTGGCGTGTTTTTATTTTACTTAAGATTGAATATAGAAATAACCAATGAGATGATCTTTATGACACCTTAGTGTTCACATGAATTTCCTTCTTATCCATTCTAATAATGAGAAATTTACATATTGTTGCAAAAGAAGGTTGGCATATTTCACTGACATTTAATGAGATCTACTGCAGTCACGTTATTTACTTCTACAGTCATTTCTACCTAATTGGGATACTAATTGGGATCTCTGCCATGTTACATTTGCCAGTTATCCTCTCAATGTGCACCAGAGCTGGCTTCTGTTTATACTCATTAAATGTACTTCAGCATTTTAACTTTTCAGCAAATTAGAAGGTCCTTCTTTTGCTATAAAAGTTGCCTATTGCAAATGCCTTAAAAACACTTAAAAACTAAAATATTGAGTATAAATGAACCCATTTATAACTTCCCTTCTGGTATCAAGGAAGAAATCAGAAGGATCCAGAAATTATGACTTCCAGAAGACAAACATATGGGGGCAGAAGTGGGGAGCTGAGACAGGAAAAAATTTGAAACATTTAGAAATACATATGTTCTCATGTCTTTTGAGAATACAATTTTTCCCTTAGTGTTTTGAAATGTTATATGAAAGTATTTTGTGAAGTGGCAACCGAGTCTGAAGATTGAGGTTACACTGATTGGAGTTGAACACTGTCTTCACCGCTTTGTATATATACAACAGAAATTCTCTGATCAAAGTATGTGTTGCTGTAGCATTTTGTTACATGAGCAGAAAACACACTGTAAAGAACAGGATACAAATTCTATTTAACTATATATTTACACACATATATATTCATAGAGACTACATGCATGTGCACTGATTTCTTGTTATTTGACTAGCTCACACTGGGTAGACACCACCACACATCTTCGTCCTGTCCACTAATTCTATAGTTTTAGCAATTAAAGCTAGAACTGTTGGTCCCCAAACTTATTAGTTGATATCTGCCTCTATCTCTATATTTGGCAACACCCGCAATTTACAAATGAAGGCAACTGTCTTGAGAATATTGGAGTCTATCTTTGCTACAGTCAGAACCAGTACTGTTTCCTTTGAGAGATCTCACCATACAGCAGTAGGCTACAAAATTATAGCAAGATAAAATTGGTCTTCAGCACCTGGACTACATTTCTTTCCATGTTAGTTGCTTGAAATTATCTCCTTAAAAATGCAACACATTTTGTAAAGATTACTGTTAGTGCCTCCTTCCTTCCTCTTTTATCTATTCATTACAGAATTTCTTAGAAAGAGTACTAAGTCATTGTAAAAGAGATGTTCACTTTATGAACGGATATTTAGATTCATTATAAAAGTTACAGAATAGCCTTCTTCTCTCATTGTACAGGTACTACCAACCGTTAAATCCCACAGAGCTGACACTCACTTGTATTATTCAGTATTTAGTTTAGTGTGTAGCACAGAAGCGGGTTTAAAGTTTGTTTTTAAATTGAATAAATGTGACCAATGTTTAGCAACCTAGCACCCTGGTTTTAATCCTATTAAATCACGTGGTGCGTTATTGAAATCTACTATTCAATCTTCCCAACTAGACTCCATGTCTGTCAAGCGCTGGGAACTTGTCTTTCTCAAGTACCTGAGCACGAGTTTTTGAATATAATATTAATTCTTGGTAACCCCTGTGAAAATTAGTCATCAAGCACTATTTAAGAGTAAGTAATAATGGAAAAATGTTACCAATATCAAAGATATATCAGGAGTGGACTACTAAAAAGAAAGAAGAAAACTTCGGAGTTAGAATCCTTGAGCATCAGTTCCGCGGTCCCGTGTACCGGTTGCCTTAGCAACAGAGACAGCATCCAACCACATCCCGCGTCCCGCCCCGCCCCAGCTACAATGTATCTCGCGGTACTTCCTCCCATGCTCTACCCCTACTTCCGCCCAAACAGCCAGTAGCGCCTAGGGTCCTAATAGCTATGCCTACAGTTGTGCTGCCTTATTACAAATATGAACATAAATAACTGAAGTTAGAAAAACATCCTTTCCATATCAACGGTGCTTTAGTTTCAGAAACAAAAACACACAAGCAGTAGGAGTTTGCGACGTTTAGGCTAAGCCTGTCACAATCATCTGCGCCCGATTTTCAGGCATTGCTTTGGGCAGCAGCAGCTGCGGAGGACCCCGGTTTGCCGAGGGAGACGTGGAGCTGGGGGGCGGGGCCGAGCGCTTAAAGCCCTCCTTCGCCCCGGAAGTGGGGCTGTCGGCGGAGTTGGGGTACGCGTGCGTCCGGGCCCGGTCCTCTGATCCACTATGTGCGTATTTACTTGTCAGCTGTCCCCCCCATGGCCTCGTTTGCTGCCCGATCCTGATTCTCTACCCTTGTGTTCCTCAGGTCGAAGGTTTCCTTTAAGATCACGCTGACGTCAGACCCGCGGCTGCCGTACAAAGTGTGAGTATGGTCTGGCCTGGCTCGGCCTCTGCTGCGCAGGCTGGATTGGGCTGCTCCGAGCTTTTCAGACTCTCCCGTTGCTCGCGGCCTGCATTCCTTCCCTCGCCTTGCCCCTGTCGGGCACCTTCTGGCTCTCCCACAGCTGCAGGAGCTTCCCTGGGTGCTGCCCTGTGTCTCCCTGGCCCTGGCGCCAGGGTGCCGGGAGGGGTGACTGCAGAGCTCCTGCTGACCGCGGAGCGCCCCTGGGAACGCGTTTGGTGGGGAGAGAAGCGGGAGGGCGAGGGCGTGACGAGGGCGTCAGTAGCTTGCTGTTCTTCCTAAGCAGTTCTTGCCAGCTGGTGATCTAAGAGGCCTTTCAGTTCTTTGCCAGCTGTTAAAGGAAGCTAGGCAGTGCTGCTCAGAGCACGCTCAAAACCACCGGGTCGCTTTTTACTGTCGGTTTTTATCTTGTGTTGTATAGGACTCAACACCGGGTATTACAAAGTAATGAGCCTCGAATCACACTTTTCCTATGTTGGGATTTAGTAAGCGGTGTTCATAGGAATAGGCAATGTGAGTCGGGCCTTGCATCCATGTGGGGCCTTTCCTTATCCTTAGATGGATTATCGCTGGTCTAGAAACACCCATCTAGGACTTCCTGTGGTTCTGCATTGACATTCTTGAGGTTATCTCAACTGGAAGTCCCATTAAATGTGGCAAAAAACAGGACTTCAATAAAGGTTTATGGTGACTCCCAGAAAACAGAAGACAGAAATTCCATTCGACCCAGCTATTCCCCTTCTGGGTATCCTTCCAAGAGATTGAAAGATGTCATGTATACCTTGATATCTGCACACCCATGTTTACAGCACCACAATTCATAATAGCAACTTCTTGGAAGTACCTGATCTAATATGAATGGATAAAGAGAATGTGGTATTGTAAGAGAGATAAACAGAATCATTTTAGGAAATTGAGTGGACCTGAGGACTGAAATGTTAAATAAATCACACACACAAGCTTCAGTATTACATGGTTTCCCTCATATGAGAAACCCAAAATACAAATGAAGAGCAAAATAACAGATAGGTGGTAGAAAATAAGGAAGTGAATCTTTTGTGAAAGGAGAAGTACCAAGAGACAGGGAGCGGATAAGAGGGGAGGGGAAGGGGATGAAGAAAAAGTTAAGAAGTGTTATGTACCAGCTCCCCACAAGGAATGTAATCATTATGTATAGCAGGCATCTATTAATAGAAATAAAAATTGGAAATACTAGACTTATAATTAGAGTTATCAATATCATGGCCTCACTGAGCTGATAACAGCTGTCATCTGGCTTCCTGTCCCATGCATCCTGCAGACCTGCTCATCTGTCTTTCCCGTCTCCAAAACACTGTTTTTACACCTTACCTGAGGTAGTCATCGTTGAGGAAATCTAATAATTACTCCATGCATAAAGTGTTACTTTCTACACCTTATCTAAGGTATTCATCATTATAGCCTAGAAGTTTAGGAACTGTAACGATTGCTCCATCTCTGAAGTGTTACTTTTAGGCACTTTCTTATGGATAACCAGCTACACTGTCTCTTTTCAGCTCATTACTTTTAATGTCACTTCTGCAGTGCTTCTTTCAGTCCACTGATCACACCATTTTTTCACCTATCACTCCCCTCCCCAGTGCTATGCCTGACGCATTTCTTATCCATCGTAGAGTCCATGGTCCATCTAAATCATTTTCCAGGAAATGTCCTCAATTCTGTTTGCTAGATGACACAGCAGCTCTGAACCCACCCATTTGTGTTCTGTGTATCATTGAATATTTCTGGAAAAATTGCACAGGTAAACTGTTCAGTTTTACATAAAATTCTTGACTAGCATTCCATACTCCCCAGTTTTGTTTATGTTTCTTCTTTTTCTCAGGAAAATTTTGAATTTTTCACAGTTCTTTCTCTTCTTACTCAAGCCATTAGAGGGAGAGTCTCTCGTCTTTCCATCCACATATATGTGACTTTCCATGGCATCTATAAAACCATGGTTTCAATTGTTTATTCCTTTATAGAGGAAGACATGGCTTCTTATGAAAACCCAGTTGGCCCATTTGGGTTCCAGAGCTTATCTATTTTAGTCTTCTGTGGATTAAAATAGATCAAGTTAGCTGAGGGCAGTGACACAAGTTTGTAATCCCAGCACTCAAGAGGCTGAGGCAGGGGGATCACTGCAAGTTCAAGGCCAGTCTAAAACTGCACAGTGAGACCCTATCTCAAAAAACAAAAAAGCAAAAAATAAAGTAGATGAAGTTGAGGGACCTCTTCCTCCGTATTATTTGTTTTACCCTTTATACTTACTCTCATTGGTGTGTAAATGTGTTCTAGATGGGGAAAATGAAGCAAGGGGAGGGAGAAAGAGGACAGAGTAGGACAATATTAACATCTGTAGTATGGCCTAGAGCACTGTACCAGTGATTTAATGTACTAGGCATTACCATTTAGTGTAGGTTTAATTGCGTGTGTATATATAGAAACTAGAGGCAGTACAGAGACTCTCAGAAACTATTGTGTACTTTGTAAGCTATTGCATGTTTAAAATAAATGACTGTCCTTTAGAACAGGTGTCATTCTAGGCTTCCACCAAAATAAAAATGGGAAAAGAATGATACCCAGTTTCATCCTTCAGCAATAATTTGGAGGAGTATAAATGGTGACAGACAAGAAATCTGTTTTCTTTCTAAAATACAGTATAATATGCTGTTGTTGATAGAATGATTATTGTTAAGGTTTGTGTCTAGATGCCCTCCCCCCAAAACCTCACGTAGTCAGAGGGGTTTTCTGGAGGTGGCTGAATCTAGAGTGTGTGATTGATTGGCGGTGCAGTGCTGGGATTCAGGGGTGTGAGTGCTACGCTTGCGCTAGGGCAGGTAGCCTGCGTACAATATAAGGGACCAAAGAGGCTTATCCCTTGCTTGCTTGTTTGCTTGTTTGCTTGTTTGCTTGCTTTTGCTGTCTTCTTCCACCGTGAACTTTTGCCCCTCTGCCATGTGTCACCCTGCTTTGGAGCCAGCCAGTTATTGACTGAAATCTCTACAAACTGTGAGCTAAATAAACTTTTCTTTCCTTAACTTTGGGTGTTGGCTGTTTGATCTCAGGAATGAAAGAAAAAGAACTAAGACAATTATATTATATTCAGACATCTGTAGACTAAATGAGGAACCTGAGTATATTACATAAAGGTAGTTAATGTTGACTTTAATATTGAGACAGTAGGGATTGATGTAATGATTACAAATAGAAAATTTCAAAGATAAATGTTAGCTTGTCTTTTCCTTACTTGAAATGGTTATTTATTTTCTATTTTTAATCATGGTAATTTATTTTACCTTAGGAATCTTACTGTTTTGCTGCTTTGCAAAACCTTTCGTTGTATTTGTAAGTGTAATGTTAATTTGTTTTTATGAGATTAACTTTATTATAATTTTTTGATTTTTTTTATTGTGAAGAGAATAAAAAATCCAAAAACAACAAAAAAACAATAAAAATGATACTTTTTTTTAAACTAGAAAAATCATACAGATTTGATTTTGGGACAGAATCATTTTTTATAAAATCTGTTCACAAATACATTTGCCATTGGCAAGTTAATTAATAAAATCACACATCCCTTTCCAAAATGTTATTTCAGATTCTGTTAAGCTATTTCCTGGATGATGGTGACAACGTATTTCATTATTACCATTTTTTCATCAATTTGGTCTACTATTTAGACATTTATTAAGTGTACACATGAGTGTTTATCAGAAAGCTTTATTAGGTTTTGGTGGCTCCCAGGTAGCTTCTAATTATAATGAAAATGATCCCATTACTGCATTGGCTGTGAAGGAATTTAGACAAGAGGCAGTGAAGACCAAGGAGAGATTCAACTTGGTAAAACCCATATCCAGAAAACCAAAGCAGCCCATGTGTTAGACTTGCTTGTATCAAAATGGTAAAACCATGTAAGTTTGCATGGGTGTATGTTTTCAGATGCTACTTTAGGTACTTGCTCTAAGGCTATTCGCTTTTTTTTTTTGATTCCAGGAATAGGAACTCACAATCTCACAATTGCTGGGCAGGTGCTGTGCTGCTGAGCTAAGACTTGTTTTTAGGGTTAATGTGGTATTACAAATTGTGTGTAAAAAATCAAAACAGTCAACTTTGAAACTCAAAAGGCAGCTTTCTTAAGAAACGTTGCAGTTGAAGAGGTAAGGGACAAGGTAAACTTAACTTCTGAACTGTCTTTTTGTTACTGTTGCAGACTCAGTGTTCCTGAAAGTACGCCTTTCACAGCAGTCTTAAAGTTTGCAGCAGAAGAAGTAAGTATGAGAATTAAAATAACCCTTACGGAATTCCATTTGGCAGTATGTTTCAAAATTTAAAAAAAAAAAAATTCATGTACTATCACCCACCATTTCCCTGTGGTTTTATTGCTAAGTTTATGTTATGAAAAAGTTTTAAGTATACTAAGTTACAAGTTAAAGTTTCATTGTTAGATACAAAGTGAACAACAAATTGACATGTTTATGCAACCATTGAAAATTATGAGATCTTTCATTGAATTTGAAGGTACCAATGATATGTAAATTTTTAAGAAGCATTATGTCATCGTATATACTATAAGCCACGCTTTTCTAGTTTTATTTCTAAAACTATAATTAAAAATCTTACTATGTTTTTCACATTTTCTGAATGGTCATGTGGATTGTCAGTAAAATTTCTTTTGAAAAAAAATGTCTAGTTTTTAAAAACGTGGTAGAATTTTTTTTTTCAAGAAATAAGAATTCTCCCTCCAAAATTATCAGAAGCATCTGTGAGCAACTCTTTGGACATGACACTTGGATGAGTAGCTTTATCTGCTACAAATGATGTTAAACTATGACTTAGAAGACTTCAGATATGTGTTTTAGTTTTGTCACTAATGAGCTGCATGACATGGGGCAGTTTCTGTCTTCACCACATTCTTTGTTGGTTTTTGTTCCATCTTGCAGTGCTTGGGATCAAAGTTAGAACTAGGGAATACTAAGGAACGCTAGGCAAATGGTGTACCACCGTCTACAACCTCTGAACGCTCATTTTCTTAATCTTCAAAATGATAGTAGTCGATGGCTGTCCTTCCTATCTAAGTGATTTTGTGTAAAAATATAATATTCATTACAATTTTGTGGTGAAATGAAAAGCGCTAGAGCGGCTGAGATTAACCCAAATCTAAAGACTTTGGTAGGAGTCCTAAGAAAAATTTAAAGTAAGAGTAAAATTGTTCTAATAACTAAATAAATAAGAAACCAGCTTAATTCATAGCTCTGCTCTGTGTTTAAGTGATGAATCGGAAGTCAGCCAACCCATGTATGTGCTAACAACTCTGTAAATTATCTCAGAGACCACTGTCGTCATTTTTTACTTACTCAGAATTAAACTCAAAGTGGTGGTATTTGTTTTAAGTTGATTTCAATCAATTGTTCATGCTGAGAGAGTGAATACAGTGAGGTGAGGCAGATCTGGGTACAGTGTCAGGGTTACTCCCTTGCTGCACAAATCACTTGCAAGAAATATTCCAGGGGTATGACCGATGCCAGATTTTAGAATTAGATCTGAGTAAGCTGTTTTTAATAATTACCATGGTTTTATATTTGCAGTTATAGTGTCCCTTTTAATGTAAATGCATTGCTATTACTTTAGTCGTTTTCTGAATGTAGAAACAAGTATAAAGGAATATGCAGTAGCAAAAGAACAAATGTCATAGAAACATACATATTAATAAAATTTGAGAGGAACTCTCAGGACATGATATTGTGAAGTCTTTCAGTGAAAACAAAGGTTTCCTTGATTCGCCAAGTGTCAAGATTTAAATCCCTGATAAAATTCTCTTAAAAAGTAAAATTCCCCGGTATACGACTGGGAATTAACTCACAAAGGCATAAGTTGCGATAACCTGAGAAGACCCTCTTAACATCTAACACTGTAAGATGTATAGAATCTGAGTAGGAAAACAGATGAAAACTGAGGACATAAAATAAATTGCATCTGGGGAAAACATCAGTAATGAGGGAGAAAAAGAATAGTGACTGTCTTTTCTGTCACTGTTGATGCTTCCCTAGATTTCAGCTTAACCGTTGCTTCCACACTCTAGAGAAGGAACAAACTATATTAGGAGTTGCTTTTGGCTTTTAAAATACGTGAAGTGGCGCTGGGGATTTAGCTCAGTGGCAAAAGCGCCTGCCTGGCAAGCGCAAGGTCGTGAGTTCACTTCCTGGTACCGGAGAAAAACAAAAACAAACAAACAAAAAAAATACGTGAAGTGTGTGGTCACTTGTGGCTGTGACAGTACATGGGCATAATCTAAGAGTAAGTCTCACTCATAAGGTACCCAAAACCTTTGTAGGATGCTCAGTGTGGGATACCCTCTAATTAATTTGAAAGTAAGCTTTCAACTGTTTTTATCAATTATGTAAAAGTGATCCTATATAAATGTCCAGAGTTATGTTGTCTTTGTACATGCCTAGAGCCAGAACCATGCACAGAAGCTAGTACAACTTTAAAAAAAAAATCTGTCAAAAAATGGATTAGTGGGCAGGAAAGACTTCATTCACCATTTCCTTCTTGGAGATAAATAAACTGTATGAGCAGAATATTAAAGGCTTTTGAGAAGGCCACTAGGTTAATGTAATGTTTTTGAAATGCATTTGATCACAGAACTGAACTACAGTATTTAAAAAATTCGTCCATAGTGCAGACATAGTGCAACATTTATTCATTGTTGGGTAAATGAGTAAAATATGAAGAGATGAAACACTTTGTCAGTGGCAGGTCCTTACAGTATTAAGTGATGGACTCTACCCTATTTATCAATATGTTCCTTACCTTATTTTATTGAATTTTCATACGACATTTTTGAAATAGGTCAGGGGTGTATTACTGTGACTGTTGGCTGTGTGGCAGTCATGTAATTATTTGGTGGACTTGCACCTAACTAAACTTAATTGTTACTTCCTAGTGATGTAATTAGAATGTTTCAATCCCTTAGGATATTAAGTCAGCAAATCCTGTGAATTTTAAGAAACAATAAGAGCCTGGGGTGTTATCTGAAGACCTGGAAGTCTCTCCCATTAAACACAAGAGCATTTATTAGGAACTTATAATTTCTACAAAGAAATAGTAGAAATATTCACATCAGTTTATTTTGCTTAAATGTTTTGTTTGTATCAGAATTATGTACGATAAAAATGAAATGTTCACATTTGAAAGTTTAAACATTGACTTGGCCATGTTTTTCCATTTGTATAGTCCATAAAATAAAGGGCATTTTACATTCACTGGTATGCTTAATGCAGTGAGACACATTTTTGGACGTAGGGTCCTTTAAAGACAAAGCAAATGAGAGTACTTTGATCTTGTCACTTACTCTAAAAGATAAATCATACTTCAGGGTTATAGAATCGGTTATGTGTGCCCCATCCTTGTTGTTCATCTGTTATAGTTACATATTTATATTGATACCTTTCTTTTCTGCCTTTTAGTTTAAGGTTCCTGCAGCAACAAGTGCAATTATTACCAATGGTAAGACTTTCTTTAAAACTATTACCTTTTAGCTATGAACGTTGTTTAAGAAGAATCTAATTAAACTGACTCAATCTTAAAAAGCCCCAGATATATATTAACCTAATGATATTAACCTAAATGATATACTTAATGGTAAAACACAAGTCAGGGTTATTACATGTGCTTAGTTCTGTTCAGTTTCTTTTTGCTTTGGGATAGATAGCACTCTGATTTCTGGTGTCTTTCTCACTTCTTCCCAGATTATTACTGGAAGTACCTAAGTTGGGTAAATCTTTTTTATTTAGTAAGATGTTTGCTGTTGTCATTATTTATGTGAAGTTGTACTATGTTTCAAAATGCGTTAAAAAAAGAAAACAAAAAGAAAATACTTTAGAAAACAAAGTTAAGCAGGAGTGTATCTTGACAATACTTGTTACGTTTGTATAGCAAATGTTCTTAGAGGCTTACAATATTTAATTTAGTTAAGTGTTCAATTAAAATTTCATATTTTGGGATGCTGATAATAATTCAGTGTGATGAAATCAGTGTCATGAGAAAATAGTGTAGCAAAGCTTTCAGGAAGGGCTTAACTATCTTTCAGGTACACAAATTACTACAGGTGTGTGCTGTAAGTGGCCCCTGTACTGTTAGGAGAGGCATAATAGAAAACGGGTTTAAAATGCAGTACTGTGATTCCTCTTAGGTATGACAGGTTTCTCTCTTTACAATATTCTGCATGTTTTCACACTGAAGTTTTTCTGTGTAGAAGAAGTCTGGCCTACTTTTTGGGAATCTATAAGGTTGCCAATGAGTAATTGACAGGAAAATGTTTTGAAACTTTCAGAGTATCAGTGGAAGTTTAAAGGGATGACTTCCTGATGTGACTATCTTTAGATTTTATGCCTCAGAAGTATATGGAAACAATGGCATACCTGAAGTGCTTTTAGCCTTTTGGAAGAAATGACAGACTTTATATATTATTGTATGTTGCAAAACTATCTTCCCTAGAACTTACTAGGATCACTGCATTGACAGATATTCTGGTGTAACCCCACGATGTGTATAATTATTTAATAGGAGTAGATTTCAACAGGTAGGTAACTTACTTGAAAGATTGTCACTTATGTTCTGGGATTTAAATTGTTCAATTTGTATGTATACATACAAGCAACATTGTTTTGGCAAGTCTCTTATTACTATTTTAGCTTTAGAAATAACTTACATGATTTTACAACTTATTTTATAGATGGAATAGGAATAAATCCTGCACAGACTGCTGGTAAGTGTCTGTCTGAAAACTCATAGTGTTATTGTGGTTAACAGTATTGATTAATACTGAATATTTAATTCATTCTAATTTAGGTTCAGGATTTTCATCAGGTTGTAGCTATTATTTAGAAATTATGGAGCACTCATATGAGTCTGAATAATAGTTTATTTCATTACATATGACAATTATACATGTTTTTGGCTACCAGTAACAGAAAACATGGCTTTTAAGCATTTCATGTTTAATACACATAGCAAAAATTCTGAAAGTAAGATTGCGCTGATGGGAAAAATGATTTGACCTACCTCCTAAATGGGTACATTATACATGGATAACATTTAGTAAGTACTACGTTACTTTAAAGAACTACAGTCATTTACATTTCTAGATACCGAATCCACACTCAGATCTCTAAACTATTAACATAATTTAGTAATACATTGATGTCCTAATCAACAGGCAAAGTAAAAATAGTCTTAAACTTTGAGTAGTCTTAAACTTTTAAACAGTATTTTTATATTTTTTAAATGTCTTTTCAAGCTAATAGTCTAATTGTAACTTTTGAAAGTATGTGATGTAATATACTGTAATCTCATTGTTGAGCAGTACTTTTAAATTGTTAATTCTAAAGTTTATTACAACAAAACTATATTGTCATCATAGACCATATACTATATAATGGAAAAATGATTTAAAAATGCAAAATTTTATTAATTCAACAATTTTAACTATAACTTTAGTAGTTTGAATTACTTTGCTTACTCTAACACATTGTGGTTTATATTACCTTTCATAATTGAATTGTGCGTATCCTTGGGTATGAAGAAAACCTCAAAAGACAGTTGACCCCAAATGGATCGCTCTATCTAAATTTTCATCACTTGTTATAATTTGCCTTTTCCCCCTAGCTTAGGTGTTTTATTGTGTATTAAATATTCATGATTAAATAATTCATTTTATTTGCTGATGTGTGCAGTAACTGTTGGCATATTAAGATAACTTGTCATTTTTTTAAAATACCTAACTTTATGTTTTGTTTGTTTCGTAGGAAATGTTTTTCTAAAACATGGTTCAGAACTGCGGATTATCCCTAGAGATCGTGTTGGAAGTTGCTAATATCTGCTGGGAACATGCAGTTACCTTTCAGAATAAAAATTGCTAGTTTTATTTTGGTTGTAAAAGTGAGATCGGGCATTTAACATACAATGCAAACACCAAGTGTCAGTGAAACAATGACTGTTCTGTCCCTTCTTGTTCATATTCTTCGCGTGAAGAGGAAGTGGTTATGAACAGACAGTGCCCCCACCACAGAAAGTCACACAGCGGCTGCCTGCGGCTTCACAAATAGGAAATTCATCTGTGGCCAATGGATTGCACAACTTTTTTACCTGGAAAATAATTCTGGTAACTTTTTGTGAGTAATTTTGGAAAATTAAAATTTCCTAAGTACATGATTGTCTTTGAGTTAAAAATGTAGAAAGATTGATTATGGATCATAGATGGCAGTTTGCTTTGATAGCATCTTATAGACATATATGGATTCTTAAATATACATTTTGTGATAAATGTAATGGACATATCAGTGAATATTTAACTTTTTATCATTTATAATTTAAGTTTTCAAACTTCACAAGTCACATAAATTTTAATTAAATATCAAAGAACCAGAAATTTAATTTCTTGGTCTAACCATTATGTGCATAAACTAACATCACATACCAAAGTCCTTGAGGGTTCTTGCAGAATATATTCATCATGGTGGAAGTTGATGATATGTAGAAGCACCTTTGCTGAGCTATGCATTTCTTTAGAGCTAGTGAGTCTCTGTCAGCTTCTGAATGCAACATTTTTTATGACAAAAACCCTCAAGAAATGACTGTTTTTAAAGATACTGTTTTCAGCGTTCTGAAAGAATATTGTTACAGAAGTTCACCAGAATCTTCAAGAAATACTGATCAGGGCTGGGGATATAGCTCAGAGGCACAGCACCTGCCTAGCAAGTGTGAGGTCGTGAGTTCAATTCCTGGCACCAGAAGAAACACAACTGACCAGAAATCCTGATGAGTTACATTTATTGAAGACCTGGCTTTTGAGGAAGTGCTAACATTAATCACCCAAGTGCGTAACAGGCAGAGATGGGAAAGCCCAGCTGACCAGGCTTGGCAAAGAGGAACGAGAGGCAAGGACAACAGGAATGAGTGATAGGAAACCGTCACAGTGTCACAGAGAACACCAGCGGGTCCACAGAACTGCGGAGAGTGTTAGAAAACCTGAAATGGAAAACAAAATGCTTGACATAGTCTTAGACAGCAAAGTGTATTTCTTGTCCACGTGCAGACTTAAAAGTACCCAGTATGAGTATTCAAAACATGTGTCTGTAACAAAATATTTTATTTGTGTTTACAGAGGAAATCAGTGTCTGCACAGTTTGAAAGGTGAATTGAAGGGTCCTAGTGGTTCAGAGTAAGTGCTGGACCTGCTGTCTTATAAATGGCTCACTCTAGAGCAAGGGTTTTGTCTGTCTAGTTCTTTTTAACCCTGGAAATGGAGACGGTCAATAAATAATGCCGAGTTTATTCATGACTAAATTCTCTCTGAGACCAATATTTATTGTAGCATGTTTCAGAGTCTTCACTGTTACGGGCCCCAGGTTCACTGAAGGAGAAAAGTATCATGAAATGCAACCGAATCAGCTTCTGAAGGGTGCCATCAGTACTTCAAGAAATTAACATGTATTTTTCACAAGTCTGATGAAAAAGTAGCAAGATCTTCAGTTATCAAAGGGAAGAAGTTTGGCTAAAGAATAAATACACTGTGTTTGGAATGTTTTTATTAAAAAAAAAAAAAAAAAAAACCTGTTTCTCAAAGGCCGCTAGTAGGCCTTAGTGGACCAGCTGTTTCTGAGTTCCTGATCCTTCAAGTTTTTTGGCTTAGTTAATTTTTTTTCCATTCTTGTAGCACAAATATCTATTTTCTGTTTGCATAGCTAAGTTTATGGTGTCTTGTGCTATAAAGTGATTTATTTAATACTTTGGTTCTGTACTTTAGAAAAGTAGACTGTAGTTCTTAGCATATTTTGTTAACAACTACATTTTATTATTAAATAAATGTGGTCTTTAAATTCTCTATGCAGAATGCTTTGAAGTACTGTATTTAAATGTATTACTGGCCCATAATTACTTACGAAAATACATTTTATTACACTGTAAACCATATTGTCTGCTGTTATTTGAACTCACAATCAGCACACCTATTGATCCTCTTTATTGCAAATGCTATTTAAATGGAACAGTGGTTAATGGCCATAAGCCCTGGAAGTGAATATCTACCCCCAAATGCCAATAAGCTTTACAAAAGAGAAAAAGAACATTCAGAAAAAAGGATTTGAGTAATTGACTAGACCAGAAGATCCCACACCGAGGTGATTATCAGTAACAGGAAATTTAAAATACAGATTCTGAAAACCACCCCTCAAATTCTAACTCATTACATCGAGAGGACTGTACAACCTAAGGTAAAGAGAAGCGTTTGTGGTAATTTTGTTGTGTAGGTAGTTGGGAAATTTAACGAGGCCAACTTTTCACTTTGTAGAAGAACAAAGTGAGGCCCCAGGGGTCAGAGTTAGGAACAGTTTAGTTTCTGCTCCGTGATTCTGTAGTAGCTTGAGGGTGTTTAAAGATGCTAATGGTCTCTCTCTTGCTGATAAGGAGCCTTTAAAGTTTCTTCAGTCAGTTGTTCAGGAGTTTTAAGAGTTATTATATGAAAGAAAAGTTAATAGAAAATTCAGTTCCATTTACTCCTCTATTCCCCAAATTAAAGTACTAAATCTACCATGTATTTTTATGGAAGGACCTTGATATACTTATAAATTTGAAGCAGTAATATACTTTAATTGAGTGATTCTAGTTAACTGATAATACTGTTCCCAAGGCCATTCATGAAACCAGAGAAATAAATATGACATGGAATATATCCAAAAAGAAAAGTGCTGAATGTATGAGTCAAATAGTTTGATAAATAATTTTACTTACCTCATTCTTCACAACATTACTAAATTATCCCCCTTGTAGGAGAAAAAGAGTAAGATTGATATTTGAATCCATCTTGATTTTGGAATGCTGCACATCCTACTGAGAACTTTTCACTGTCCATTTTCTACAAAACATTAGATCTGTATTGAATTACACATTCAAAACAATTTTTGAAAGTAAGGTGTACCTTCCCTGTTAGAGTACAAAATATGTGTGTAAAGATAATAAATGGCATTACTTTTAATACATGTTTTAAATATGTTGGAAATTAAAATTTTTGGATGTTATATAGAAACAAAATAGTTTGGTGTTACTCTATGGACTGGCTTAGTGGGCGTAGGGAATGCCTTAATTACATTTTTAATCTGATATATCATGCAATTCAATGGCAGGATTATTTATAGCCTCTTTCAACCTGATTGCTGTCCATAAGCCCTTCCAACACAGAAATTCTGTAGTACTACTCTGTTGTTTAGTGTTAGAGATGGCTGAATCATTAATTAAATGGTTAAACTATTAATTAAAACAAATATTCTTGAAAAGCTCAATCCAATCTATCATCTACATCAAAACTGCCTGTGGCAGGTATCTGTTAGCTCATTAGAGTTTGCTTTCTCTCGTCATATCAAACCAATCATAAAATTCTATTGGTTCTCGTAGCCATCCCTAATGCCCTCACATTTGCATACATACCATCACAAAAAACTAGTCTATCCATTTCCTCTTTCATATGTGGTGTAGGCAGTGTGATGTCCACAGTTACACTGATACTGACTCCAAGGTTTGTGTAATTGTTAAGTCCACACTGAAGCATATTTGCCATCAATTTTGCTAGAGTTACGCTAAAACGAAAATTAGTGCATCTGGAAGGGTTTGCATAGCTGCTATTGAACATTTCAGTGATCTCACTTTGCTTGAAAAATGTAACTAATTAACATAAACAAGTTGCCTTTCAGTGAACATATTCATAGAACAACGAAGGATTGTGAATATTTGAAAAGTGGGTTTATGGCCCTGTTTACTTTCTATGTAGACAGAGGTGTAATTTTGTCACTGGATTCAAAATACTGGCCAAAGTGCAGAGAGCCCATTTTTCACATAGCTGATTTCCTGGCAAAATCCATCACTGATGTAAAAACTGCTATTGAGAGCATGTTGTGATGACACATCATGTCAATGTTTGTTTGGCTGAGTAACACTTGGATTTAATAAAAGTCAAATTCACGATTTACAGTCGATGTACTGTTTTAGAAATAAACTATCCTTTTTATTGTCAGTGCCACAAACATTTTGACAAGCCTTAAATGGAGAGTTTCTGTGATTTTTATTCTACATACAATGTATGGATAGATTAGGACTTTTCATTTATCCTTAGATGTCCACATGCTGTAGGACTGGAACATACATAATAAATGAGCCGCAGAGTTAAGTTGTCAGAGGCATTGTAGAGGGAGTCACATTGTATGTTGGGAACCACATGCTCGGGAATACAAAGAGTATTACTCAAAGCAAAGGGAGATGAAGGTTTTGGAGGGCTGTGGACACTGACAGAGCTGGTGAATTGCAGTCGATTTCACATATTTACTCAACTGAATCTTGAAATGCATAATCTTCCTATTGAATTTACAGTTGGGATCAGAAGAAGAGGGAGACCACTTATCAGAGATTGCTGAGGGCTTCATTGTGATACGGAAATAGTCATGCTCCAGATATTCGAATTAATTTTTTAAATTAAACCAACAATTACCTGTGCTAAGAGCATAGAACCGCATTTTGAGGAGAGATTCTCTATAATATAATTTACTTATATTTCCTAGTGAGTCTGTATTTTTAATTTTTTTGAAAAAGTATTTCATAGGAATTTTAATGAAAAATCCGCTTCAAGGATGTCATCCTCTTCCTATAAACAAATAAATGTAAAATACTAATCTATCATCCCATCTACTTTCCCACTTTCCATCCATCCTTACCCACATGCGTGAGAGAATATCTCTTGCTCTGGAAAGTTATAAATTGCCCGAAGATTTTCCTAGGAGGACTTACTTTACTCCATTGTGAGGGTGACTACAACATTATTTGGCTTCCATAGCTTCACTAGATATCGTTTGTATTTCTTTGCTCTCCCACTCTCCCTCACCCTCCTGCTTCCTTCCATCTCTGTTTCTATCTCTATAGATACATGTATAGATAGAGATAAAAATAGTCGCATGAATCATCTCCTGTATACTTGGATATACTGTTGTGTAGTGAATTTCAATTGACTCTTGCAGTCATAGTTCAATCATGCTGTCCAATCCAAGCATCATAGAATAGAAAATTATTTTCTTTATATTGTCAAATGCAACTGGATTTAAATAAGGCTATAATTAGTACATTCTTCTAGATACATTTATAGTTGAGCAATTGACAATTTCATGTGTCAAATATATAGGTCAATCTTTCCAGGGTAATTAGCATCACCATTCTCAGAAATTTTATGTCCCAGATTAAAATGGATTATAATTAACTTTTCAAAGTTATGTGGTTATTGCCAAATGAATGTGATAGTAAATGAACGTTGCAGAAATTCAAAAGATTATTGAGGGCTGTACTATTTGAGAAGAATTTGTAGCAGTGGGAATGATCTGAGCAAAAATGTGAAGAAACCATGTGGGACATTAATTTAGCCCTAAGGGTCTCTTGGGCACTAAGAACTAGATAATGTCAGCTCGTCAATGATCATGTAATGGGATCAAAGTGTCCCTGCCTTCATGGCGCTTGTAGGTTAGTGGGGGAGAAACAGTGAACCAATATATTGTTAATGTCTGTGATTTTAAAAAAATATATGTAGAATTTTAGGGTGATAAGGAATAAAGGAAATCTTAAATAAACAGATAAGGATTTCCCTTATGTAACTACATGGTAGAATACTATTTAAGAGAATCAAAAAATAAACACAGCGTCGTTTGGAGAAGAGAATCCAAGTGGTACTTGCACAAGCAGTATCGTCTAAGTGAACCTTGCTTCTAGGCTGCTGTGGTGTCCGCTTGCCCATGTACACAGCATTACAGAGTCAGTTTGAGGAATGTGAAAAGGGCCAGTGAAACTAGAACAGAGTTGAGAGAACTGAGCTGGCCATAAGACTGCAGAGAAAGTTACGGTCCAGAGCTACAGGAACAAAACTGAATTGCCAGAGTCCAGTTAAAGGGATTCTGTCAGCAAGAGAAAATGAATTTGATCAAAGGTAGGAGTGATAAGAAGTACAATCAGCCTCCATGTCCCTAGGTTCTGTGTTCTTGAGAAGATTCAACCAAACACAGGACACAAATAGAAAGTTTTTCTAGATGATCCTGTATTTCTTATTATTAGCTAAACAATACAGTAATTACTATATAACATTTTCATCCCTTGAAATATTAGTTCTTTGTGCCATCAATGATTGATTCAGTTGTAAAACTTGTTTAGGAGAATTTAGTATGAAGTTTTTTAGTTTGATATCCAAAATCTGTGACAATGGGGCTGGGGATGTGGCTCAGTGGAAGAGCCCTTGCCATGCATGCATAAGGCCCTGGATTCAATCGCCAGCTCCATAAATAAATAAATAAATAAATAAATAAATAAATAAATAAATAAATATTGTGGACTAAAGTCTTGGTAAAATCTAACATTTCCTTTCATTGTAAATGTATTATCTGATTCATACATACTTGTGTTAGTTACTTTTCTCTCATTGCTTGGACAAAATACCTGACACCCAGAATTAAGGAAGGAAAGATTTATTTAGCTCACAGTTTGTAGAGGTTTCAGTCCTTACTCAGCTGGCTTCAAGGCAGAGTGGCACCTCAGAGGGCAACAGTTCATGGTGGGGGGCAGCAAAAGCAACAAGAGCACAAAGGCAGGAGCCAGTGAGCAAGCCTCGTTTCATCCCTTACGTTGTATACAGGCTACCTGCCCTAGGGTGGGTGTAGTACTCACACCCATAATCCCAGCATTGGACCATGCGTCTGTCATAAACTCCAGAAGCCCACCTCATGGCTGCATGAGGCTTTGAGAGGACATCTAGACACAAACCATAACAATACTTCACAACAAATGTACATCTAGGTATGATTTGTTTCCAGTTTAGAATATGAGGTAGTTATCAGAGAGGCTAAGTAATTTGGCTCTTGTTTCCAAGCTAATAAACTATGACATAATGTT